TAGCGTAGAATTGCACTGAGACTCTTCCCTAAAGATGTGTGTTGTGTTATCCCTCGTAGCGGAGAGATAGGTTTGCTGACAGTGTTGGCATCTATGAACTTGCTGACAGTGTTGTCATCAAAGAGCTGGGTGATAACTGTTGTATTATGATATCTACGGCAGAGGTCCGCCAGAGACGAAGGTCAGAGTTACACACGCATACTACACCACGTAAGGCCCCTCATAACACCGTCTGTGAGGGAATTACCACACCACGTGAGGCCCCTCATAACACCGTCTGTGAGGGAATTACTACATCACGTGAGGCCCCTCATAACACCATCTGTGAGGGAATTACTACACACACGTGAGGCCCCTCATAACACCGTCTGTGAGGGAATTACTACATCACGTAAGGCCCTCATAACACCATCTGTGAGGGAATTACTACACACGTGAGGCCCCCATAATAACACCGTCTGTGAGGGAATTACTACATCACGTGAGGCCTCTATAATACCGTCTGTGAGGAATTACTACACCAGCCGTCAGGCCCTCATAACACCATCTGTGAGGGAATTACTCCACCACGTCAGGCCCCTCATAACACCGTCTGTGAGGGAATTACTACACCACATCAGGCCCCTCATAACACCGTCTGTGAGGGAATTACCACACCACGTGAGGCCCCTCATAACACCGTCTGTGAGGGAATTACCACACCACGTGAGGTCCCTCATAACACCATCTGTGAGGGAATTACTACACCACGTCATGTCCCTCATAACACCATCTGTGAGGGAACTACTACACCACGTGAGGTCCCTCATAATACCATCTGTGAGGGAATTACTGCACCACGCGATGCCCCTCATAACACCATCTGTGAGGGAATTACTACACCACGTGAGGTCCCTCATAACACCATCTGTGAGGGAATTACTACACCACGTGAGGTTCCTCATAACACCATCTGTGAGGAATTACCACACCACGTGAGGCCCCTCATAACACCATCTGTGAGGGAATTACTACACCACGTGAGGTCCTCATAACACCATCTGAGAGGAACCATTACACCACATGAGGCAGTCCCCATAACACCATCTGTGAGGGAATTACTGCACACGCGATGCCCGGGTCATAACACCGTCTGTGAGGAACATTACACCACGAGGTCCCTCATAACACCATCTGTGGAGGAACTACTACACCACGGAGGTCCCCTCATAACACCATCTGTGAGGGAATTACTACACCACGGAGGTCCTCATAACACCATCTGTGAGGGAATTACTACACCACGTGAGGTCCCTCATAACACCATCTGTTAGGGAACTACTACACCACGTGAGGTCCCTCATAACACCATCTGTGAGGGAATTACTACACCACGTGAGGTCCCTCATAACATCATCTGTGATGGAATTACTACACCACGTGAGGTCCCTCATAACACCATCTTTAAGGGAGTTACTACACTGCATGTTTGCTGTTCAACACCTACATTAATCTGTATGTTCCTTTACCTTTCTCTAATGAAGGCATTTCTTAAACCACCAATGTATGTAATAAGTCTTTTATGTCCAATGTATATTTTCAGCCTTCGGGCTGCAGAACTTTTTCAATAAACCGTTAATTATTATTATTATTATTATTATTATTATTATTATTATTATTATTATTATTATTATTATTATTATTATTATTTTTACACACACACACACACACACACACACACACACACACACAGAGACACACACACACACACACACACACACACACACAGACACACACACACACACACACACACACACAGACACACACACACACACACACACACACACACACACACACAGTTTCTGTCTTAATGTGAAGAATAAATTAAGCATCGCAGAAACTTGATGTCCCTGCCATAATGTTAGTGGGTAGTACTAGTGGTGTTGGAGGTGGTGGTAGTGGTGGTGGTGGTGGTGGTGCTAGTAGTAGTAGTAGTAGTAGTAGTGGTGGTGTAAGTGGTGGCAGAAGTAGTACTGATGGTGGTGGTGGCAGTAGTAGTAGGGATGGTGGTAACTCTTGTTATGGTTGGCTCCAGGCTGTTGTTCCCTCTCGTTATTTTGGTCTATGGTTGTGGTTGTCTTTTGTGCGTGCGTGCGTGCGTGTGTGTCTGCGTGTGTGTCTGCGTGTGTGTGTGTGTGTGTGATATGTTAGCCGTGTCCTAATGCTCAGTGCTCATCGTAAAAGTTAAAGACATATAGATTGTTGTTGATATATTATAATACCTACAGATATACACAGTCAAGGTGGAGGAGAGGGCCGCCACTAAGTCTGGTGTTGATCTGTGTCTCCTTCCTTCCTTCCTTCCTTCCTTCCTTCCTTCCTTTTCTTTGTTTCCTCCTCTCTCCTTTTCCTCTTGTTTACTTCCTCTTGTTTCTTCTTCTCTATCTGTTTTCTCTCATCCACTTGCTATAATTGTATATCCGACCTCTTCCTCTTCTTCTCTTCTTTCCCTTCCTTTTCCCTTTTCTTTTTCTTCTTTCTTCTTTCTTCTTTCTTCTTCTTCTTCTTCTTCCACAACACAAACTTCAAGGGGTGACCCAACTGGCCGAGTAATTTAAAATTCCTGACCTATACCGGAAACAAGGCGGGGAGGGGTGGGTGACAGAGGCGTGGGGGTGGGTGAGAGAGGTGTGGGAGTGGGTGAAAGGCGGGGGTGGGTGAGAGGCGGGAGTGGGCGGGGTGGGTGAGAGAGGTGGGGGTGGGTGAGGAGAGGCGTGGGGGGGTGGGGTGAGAGGCGGGGGTGGGGTGAGAGGCGTGGGGGTGGGTGGAGAGGTGTGGGGTGGGGTGAGAGAGAGGTGGGGGTGATGAGAGGCGGGGGTGGGTGAGAGAGGTGTGGGGTGGATGAGAGAGGCGTGGGGGTGGGTGGCGAAAGGGCGTAGAGGGGGGTGAGGCATGGGTGTGGGTGAGAGAGTCAGGTGTGGGGTGTGTGAGAGGCGGGGTGTGGGGTGTGGAGGCATGGGTGTGGGGTGCGAGAGGCGGGGGTTGGGATGTGGGAGAGGCGGTGGGTGTGAGAGGCGTGTGGGTGGGTGGAGAGGCGGTGGGTGGGTGTGGAGGAGGGCGTGTGGTGGGTGAGGCATGGGGGTGGGTGGAGAGGCGTGGTGGTGTGAGAGGCGTGGGGTGGGTGTGAGAGGCGTGTGGGTGGGTGATGAGGAGGGAAAATAAAGTGCGCTCTGGGAAAAGGAAGAACATAATGTTGGGGAGTGATGTGAGGTGGGGAGTGATGTGAGGTGGGGAGTAAAATATGTTTTGGAAAGGGAAGGTTATGTGATGGGGGGAGGAGGAGAATGTGATGGGGAGAGAGAACTGGGGAATAAGGAAGGAAAGAGTGGGGAAGGAGGATGTGGTTGGGAGAGATGTCTAGTGATAAAGAAGAGCGATGATAAGAGGGCAGCGATGGGGAAAGATGTTGGGGGATGTGTAGGGAAGGAGGGGGTGGAGGGTATGTGGCGGGGTGTGGTAGTGAGGAAGTGTCCTGATGGGGTGAGGCATGAGGAAGCTGTTGGCCGGTGTGTGTGTGTGTGTGTGAAAGGGGGGAGGGGGAGAGGAATAATGAGCGAGGGGAGGTAGGAGAGGAGTGAGGGTGGCAGCGGAAGTTATCCTGGTCACGAGTGGTTGACACAGCCATCAGGAAGGGCAGGAGGAAGGCGGAGGAGGAGGAAGGAGACGAAGGTGTTTTGGTGAACGGGAAAAAGAGTTGTGTATGCTGGGGGAAGGGCGTGGGGACCATGAGGGGTTGGGTTATTGGAGCACGTAGGGAATAAGAATAGGTATTGGGGGAGATGGAATGGATGTTGAGGAGGAAAATGGTTAAAAATTCGAAGATCATTGGTGTTGTAGTTTACTTCAGCGTCCTTATGTGACCTAAAGGAGGGAGCAACAAGTCTGAAGTAAAGAGACAGACGAAGTTCTTAAAATCTAAAACATCAGTTAAGTTCAGCTGGTCATTGTGTACTCCTTGTTGGAACACAGACGCATTAGTTATAATACGGTATATACATAAAAAGATACGTAAGAGGTTCAGTATATAACTCAAACAGAAGAGGAGATGAATGAAGATTCGACTTATGAGTAATGGATCGCGCTTTGAGTCATCCCTTTCAATCGTATATGGATATGGATTCATGCATGATACGTATCGTAACTACGGATATTATAACACCTTTCCTTGACAGTACCAACATATATTAAAAAAAAAATAGCAGGGGAGCCAATAGAGGTTTTGAAAAGAAAAGTTGACATGTTCCTTCACACTGCACCCTTCTTAGCTATCATACTTGGCCTTCAGGTTGCTGGCGCCAACAGTCTGGTGAATCATGTTATCAGCCGGAAAATATGGCAGCAAACTCCTGCAGTCGGCGCCAGGTAAACTGTCTGGCAGATGAAGTAAGAGTCACACGGACGGGGCAAGAAATGACAGTGAATAAATGAGCCCACAGAAGAGAAAGGGAGAGAGGAGGAGGATGAGGAGAGAGAGAGTAGGGTTAAAAAGAAAAGGAGGAATAGGAGAGAAGGGCGAAGATGAAAAAGAGGAAGTGAGGAGCGTTAAGTGGAAGACGAGAGAAGAGCTGGGAGGAAGAGGTGGAGGATTAAACAGAAGAGGAGAAGGGTTAAACGAAGGACCAGATATAGAGAGACGGGTTAAGAAGAAGGGGCGGAGGAGAGAAAGAGAGAGAGGGGAGGGTGAAACGGAAAAAGGGGAGAGAGGAGAGTTAAGCGGATCCAGGGGAGGAGAGAGAGAGCGGGAGAGAGAAGGGTTAAGAAGAAAAAGATTAGCTGAGGGTTAAGCAGGAGGGGGTAGGGGAAGGGGATAGTGGTAAGGGGTAGGAGGAACTTGGAGTGGAAGGCCCATACTTGCTATTTCTGTGCTCTATGGCTGGCTGTTGTGACTGTTAAGTACCCTCCTCCTCCTGCTCCTCCTCCCACGCCGCCTGCTGATAATTCTTGAAGACTCGGCTGGCTAGGTGTGGAGGGTTGTGGCGCCAGGTGGAGCTGTGGCGCCAGATGGAACTGTGGTGCCAGGTGGAGCTCAGGCGCCAGATGGAGCTGTGGCGCCAGGTGGAGCTGTGGCGACAGATGGAACTGTGGTGCCAGGTGGAGCTGTGGCACCAGATGGAACTGTGGTGCCAGGTGGAGCTGTGGCGCCAGGTGTAGCTGTGGCGCCAGGTGGAGCTGTGGCGCCAGGTGGAGCTGTGGCGGCAGATGGAGCTGTGGCGCCAGATGGAGCTGTGGCGCCAGATGGAGCTGAGGCGCCAGATGGAGCTGTGGCGCCAGATAGAGCTGTGGCGCCAGATGGAGCTGTGGTGCCAGGTGGAGCTGTGGTGCCAGGTGGAGCTGTGGCGCCAGGTGGAGCTGTGGCGCCAGGTGGAGCTGTGGCACCAGATGGAACTGTGGTGCCAGGTGGAGCTGTGGCGCCAGGTGTAGCTGTGGCGCCAGGTGGAGCTGTGGCGGCAGATGGAGCTGTGGCGCCAGATGGAGCTGTGGCGCCAGATGGAGCTGTGGCGCCAGGTGGAGCTGTGGCGCCAGGTGGAGCTGTGGCGCCAGGTGGAGCTGTGGCGACAGGTGGAGCTGTGGCACCAGGTGGAGCTGTGGCGCCAGGTGGAGCCAGGCGCTGGGTAGAGCCAGGCACCAGATGGAACTAAAAGCCAGGTAGAGCTGTGGGCGCCAGGTGGCTGCTGTGGCGCCAGTGTGGAGCTGTGGCGGCAGATGGAGCTGTGGCGCCAGACAGAGCTGTGGCGCTGATGGAGCTGTGGCGCCAGGAGCTGCTGTGGCGCCAGGTGAGCCAGGCGCCAGGTGGAGCTGTGGCGACAGGTGGAGCTGTGGCACCAGGTGGAGCTGTGGCGCCAGGTGGAACCAGGCCAGATGAGCTGGTGGCGCCAGCTGGAGCTGTGGCGCCAGGAGATGTGGCGCCAGGTGAAGCTGTGGCGCCAGGTGAGCTGTGGCGCCAGGTGTGAGCTGCTGTGGCGCCAGATGGGAGCTGTGGCGCCGGGGTGAGCTGTGGCGCCAGGAGCTGTATGCCAGATGAAAACTGTGGCGCCAGGAGCTGTGGCGCCAGGTGGAGCTGTGGCGCCAGGTGGAGCTGTGGCGCCAGGTGGAGCTGTGGCGCCAGATGGAACTGTGGCGCCAGGTGAAGCTGTGGCGCCAGGTGGAGCTGTGGCGCCAGGTGGAGCTGTGGCGCCAGGTGGAGCTGTGGCGCCAGATGGAGCTGTGGCGCCAGATGGAGCTGTGGCGCCGGTGAACTAATGAGAGGAATGAGAGGTTTTGTGTTCGGCAAAGAGGTATATGAAGCTAGGTGAACAGATGTGTGAGGCCAGGTGAAAAGGTGTGTGGGGCCAGGTGGACAGATGTGAGGCCAGGACAGATGTGAGGCCAGGTAAACAGGTGTGAGGCCAGGTGGACAGATGTGTTAGGCCAGGTAAAGGTGTGTGGGCCAGGTGGGACAGATGTGTGAGGCCAGGTGAAAAGGTGTGGGGCTGTGGATAGATGTGTGAGGCCAGGTGGACAGATGTGGGAGGCCAGGTGAAAAGGTGTGTGGGGTCAGGTGGACAGATGTGTGAGGCAGGTAACAGGTGTGTGAGGCCAGGGACAGATGTGGAGGCCAGGTAAACAGGAGGCCAGGGGTGGACAGATGTAGAGGCCAGGTAAAGAGGTGTGTGGGGCCAGGTGGACAGATGTGTGAGGCCAGGTGAAAAGGTGTGGGGGGTCAGGTGGACAGATGTGTGGAGGCCAGTGGACAGGATGTGAGGCCAGGTGAAAAGGTGGGGGTCAGGTGGACAGATGTGTGAGGCCAGGTAAATGAGGTGTGTGGAGGCCAGGTGGACAGGTGTGTGAGGCCAGGTGAAAGGTGGGGACAGGTGGACAGATGTGAGGGGCCAGGTGAAAAGGAAGGTGTGTAAATAGGTGGGGATGATGTGTGGAGGCCAGGTAAACAGGTGTGTGGAGGCCAGGTGGACAGATGTGTGAGGCCAGGTAAACAGGTGTGAGGCCAGGTGGACAGGTGTGGAGGCCAGGTGGAACAGGTGCTTGGGGGCCAAGTGGACAGCTGTGTGAGGCCAGGTGAATAGGTGTGTGAGGGCTAGGGTGAACAAGTGTGTGTGTGTGTGTGTGTGCGTGTGTGTATGTGTGTGTGGGCTAGGTGAACAGGTGTGTGGAGGCCAGGTGAAACAGGTGTGTGGAGGCCAAGGAACAGGGTGTGTGAAGCCAGGTGAACAGGTGTGGTTAGGTAGTCAGGTGTTTGAGGACAGGTGGACAGGTGTGTTGTTAGGTGGACAGGTTTGTGAGGCCAGGTGAACATGTGTTTGAGGGCAGGTGAACAGGTGTGTGGACAGGTGTTTGAGGTCAGGTGAACAAGTGTGGGTGGACAGGTGTGTGAGGTCAGGTGGACAAATGTTTGAGGGCAAGTGGACAGGTTGTGTGAGGTTAGGTGGATAGGTGTTTGAGGTCAAGTGAACAGGTATGTGAGGCCAGGTGAAAGACTGTGTGAGGTCAGGTGGACAGGTGTGTGAGGTCAGGTGGACAGGGTGTTTGAGGTTATTTCAACAGGTGTGGAAAGGTAGATAGAGTGCAGATGTAGAGGGGAAAGAATAAAAGTGAAAGAACAAGAAAAATGGACGCAGATGAGAGAGAGAGAGAAAGAGAGAGAGAGAGAGAGAGAGAGAGAGAGAGAGAGAGAGAGAGTAGAATTTCGCAGTTACTTTTAAGAATTTTTATTGGTCTTTATCAGGACATTAAGGGGCGAGAAGAATTACAACTTGGGGTATTGGTGACACACACACACACACACACACACACTGGCACACTACACACTTCACACACACACACACACACACACACACACACACACACACACACACACACACACACACACACACACACACACACACACTCACCGTTAGATAGAAGTGATAAAGGAAGACAACTTCATTTGTCTTCATTATTTTATGTTTCAGGTTGAGTATATTCTTAGGAGGTGTTGTGTGTGCGTTAGGTTGAGTATATTGTGTATTGTAACGTTCAGCATGCTCACCTCGTAAGCGAGTGGACCCGGGTTCGATACCCTGACAAGGTGAAACTATCTGCAAGTTTCTTACGCCATTTGCCTTTGTCTACCCAGAAGTAATTGGGGACCTGGATGTTAATCGATTTGCGGATCGTATTCCGGGGTAAAGGTTAACCAGTGCAGTTGGCAAGTTGTCCGGTCTTCTCGGACTATTCCTTGACACTGGGTCATGCAACTTGATAACTCAGGGTGTGGTTGTCGCGTTGGCGACAGCTTCTCCAACTTAAACAAATTCACGCCTAGGTGGCCCTTGGGCCGGCCATCCTCGAACACGAGGGGCAACCATTATTATTATACTGTCCAGGAGGTATGTGAGTTATGTGTAGTTGCATACTCTGGGCGAAGTTGTATGCGAGTAAATATACACCGTTAGTGAGATTGTATTTGACCCGTTGGCATACTGTGGCTGAGGTATGCGACCTACGGGGCATACCAGTCGTGACTTCCGGGTTTGTGGTGTCATACCCAGCATACTTTCCTGGTCTGGTCTGGTCGGGTCAGCGTTGGTGTCGTGTATGTTTATAGAAAGTGACCAAGGCGGTGTTCCTGCCACTCCCTCCTGACTTTACTGATGATCTTAAAGTGATAGGATATTTGTCCCATATGTTTATTATTGACTAACTGTATACGTTTATTTACTTTTTGGAACATAATAGTGACTGAGGATAAATTAAGAGATATATTGGAACATTAACGAATTTTAGACAGATTTTACATGTAGTACTTGCACCTGAAATCGTACCTGTAATTATACATATAGACAAAATTTACCTGTACCTCTAATTAATCTTACCTGTACATGCAATTAATCTTAACTGTACCTGTAATTAATCTTACCTGGAATTATACCTGTAACTCATAAAAGTCTGTACTTGTTACTGAGAACAGGAAAATTTAGTCTCATAATAGATATTATTTGTAGTTAACTCTGTCCTCTTACCTACGGTTATGACGTAAAGGCCGCTTAAGGTGTGTGTGTGTGTGTGTGTGTGTGTGTGTGTGTGTGTGTGTGTGTGTGTGTGCGTGTGTGAAAGAGAGGAATTTTTGCAGTGATATTTAGAGGTCTTACCCTTAACGTCGAGCTCTGGCTATATTTAATGGTCACCTCCTCAACTTTTTAACTTTACGACTCTGAGGTTCAACAAGTGGTAGTGGTGGTAGGGAGGGAGATGGTGGTAGTGGTGGTAGGGATGGAGATGGTGGTAGTGGTGGTAGGGAGAGAGATGGTGGTTGTGGTGATTGTGAAGGGGGTGGTAATGGTAGTTGTTGATGGTGGTGGTGTTGTATTGTTGTTGTTATTGTTGTTGGTAGTGATGGTGTTGGTAGTGATGGTGTTGGTAGGGATGGATATGGTCGTTGAGGGGGTGGTAATAGTAGTGGAGGTGTTTGGTAGAGTTGATGTTCATGTAGTTGTTGTTGGTGGTTTGTAATTATTATTATAGGTGGTGGTAGTGGTGGTGATGGCGTGGGGAGACGACAGGAAAGGGAGGAGTAGGGGGGTCACCTGAGGTAAGTGATGGGGAGGAAGGGGCTTGTGGAAGAGGGCAGAGGAGAGGAGATTTGGAAAAGATGCGTAGTGGTCGAGTGGACACAGAAGGTAGAGGGACGAGGGGAGAGTTTTTTAGTTTAACAAATTTATTGACAAAGCTTGTAGTACAGTTTGTCTATTCTGAGTAATTCAGTCAGGTCTTGACACTGAGGGTGGTATCACTTCTCACTGCCACGCAGGACAGAGGTTCATACACAAAGAAATATATTTTATTCATTAACAGTATATATAGGTTAGATTCGTGTGGGTTGATGTCGCTGTTCATTGCCATGCAGGACAGTGGTTCATGTACATTAGGAGTCATGTTCTAATTGAAGACTAATCAGTGTGGGCTAGCAAATTTGGGGATAAACAGCAAGAATTTCCCCAAGCAACCCTGATTCAATGTATTAATTACAAAGTTCATGATACAATAAGTCAGGTGGCCTGAAGTCTTTGACAGTGTCACATTCAATAATATAGTGTTCAAGTGTATGCTTTAAAGGTTTATCACAAAGTTTACATGCTGAGTGTTCCGGTATGGGTACAGCGTTACTAACTTGCCAGATGTGTCTGTATCCTAGCCTAATTCTGGCCACGACTACATCACATTGTCTGGTTCTGTCGGAGGAGGGTACAGGAAGGGTAATGGGTGAGATGAGGATAATGGCTGAGGGTAGAATAATAATGGAGGGTAGAGAGGCCAGAACAGGTGTGAGGGTAGAGAGGCCAGGACAGGTGTGAGGGTAGAGAGGCCAGGACAGGTGTAAGGATAGAGAACAGGTAGAGAGGCCAGGACAGGTGTGAGGGATAGAGAGAACAGATGCCAGGACAGGTGTGAGGGGTAGGACAGGTGTGTGAGGGTAGAGAGCCAGGACAGGTGTGAGGGTAGAGAGGCCAGGACAGGTGTGGGGAGAGAGGCCAGGAGGTGAGGGTAGAGAGGCCAGGACAGGTGTAGGATGAGGGGCCAGAACAGGTGAGGGTAGAGAGGCCAGAACAGAGATGAGGCCAGGACAGGTGTGAGGGTAGAGAGGCCAGAACAGTTTGTGAGGTTG